CCAGCATTTGTTATTTTCTGTCTTGTTGAACTTAGCTACTAGTGCTGGAGCAAGATGGTATCTCATTGTTGTTTTAATTTGCATCTCTCTAATAGCTAATGATCGTGAGCATGAAATGCTTATTTCTTTAAAATGAGCTCTTTGTCCATTTCTAGTTTTTGAAAAGTGAGGTTGTGTCTCTTAAAAATTTTTATAAATCATACCTTAATTTTAATTTAGAGGTTGTTATGGATTGAATTGTGTCTTCCTAAAATATGTGTCAACTTAGGTAGGCCATGATTCTCAGTATTGTATAGTTATCCTCCATTTTGTGATCTGATATAATTATCCTGTGTGTGGCAAAACCTAACCTCTATGATTAACAAGGCAGAATTAGAGGCAGTTATGTTAATGAGGCAGGATACAATTTACAGGATCAAGTTGTATTTTGAATCCATCTCTTTTGAGATATAAAAGCTATTAAACAAGTGAGGAGAGATCAGAGGGACCTGACTACCACCAACAAAGAAAAGCTAGGAGCAGAAAACATCCTTTGGACATGGGGTCTCTGCTCTCAGAACCTCCCAGACCCGGGGGAAGACTGATACCAAGACACATGTAGATCTCCAAGGAAAGCTGGGCCCACAGATGTTGAAAGTAGACAAGGACCTTCCCTTAAAGTTGACAGAGAGAAAAAGTATTCCCCTAAAGCTGTCCCTGAATTTGGACTTCTGGCATCCTGAACTATGCTAAAGGAGCTCTGGTGGCATAGTGCCTAAAACATTAGATTGCCAGCCATAAGGTTGTCAGTTCAAGCCCACCAGCCACTCCACAGAAGGAAGGTCTACTTCTGTAAAGATTTACTGCCTCGGAAACCCAATGGGAGTCACTATGAGTAGCAACTGACTCAATGGCAGTGACTTTGGTTTTGGTTTAAAAGCCATCTACTTGTGGTATTTCTGTTATAGCAGCCCTAGATAACTAAGACAGAGGTTATTAACCCAAGGCCTATGGATGGGAGTCTGTAATCTCCCTCAAATAGTATGAAATTTTTATTTTTTCCTAGACAGATGGTTAATAGCTTTCATCAAAAACTTGCAAAGTGGTCTATGATTCAATACCAACACCTAAGGGCTTTCAGTACCTATCTCCCAAAAGTTCATTTAACATACTGTCATAAAACTGTAAGGCTATGCTTTAGTTGCATTTATGTTCCCTATTTGGAAATGGAGAAATTATTCTTTCTCATGCTCATCAGAATGGGCCAGTCATCAAGAGGAAGAAGCATATGTCCTTATTGCACTGAAAATACTTTTTGCCATAACAGGTGGTCAGAGCTGCTATCAAGGCTCCTTTAAAGATACATGTGGAGGATGAAAGAAGATTTCCGGAGTGTTCAGTCTCCATAATGCAGCCAAAATATCTTTTAAAAATAGATTTAAAAAAAAAAAAGTAATAAATAAATAAATAAAAACAAATCTGATCATGTCTCCCTGCTGTTCAAAACTTTTGCATATTTCCCTTCGCTCTTAAGGTAAAGCCCAAATAGCTTAACATGGCTTAGAAAAATTTAAGTTGTATGACAATGAGAGGCTTTGATTTTTCAATGATGTACTACCAATTCCTTGAATAGTGCCTAGTATATAAGCCGTGCTCAAGAATTAATACCTCATTCTCAGAGAATTGCCCTGCTTATCTCTCTAGCGTTCTTATACACCACTCTTCCCTTTGCTTTCCTGTTTCTAGCTTAAAGAAATATATATATTTTTTTTCACTTCTTCATATATGCTCCTTTCTACATCAAGCTCTTGGAATACACAGTTTCCAATGTTTTGACTGACTAATGCGTCCTCATGCTTCAGGTTTCAACTTTACAACTGATGCTCATCTTAGTCAAGTTCCTGGTTGTATTCTCTTATAGCACTCATTTATAACACCCTCATGCTTGTAATTACTTGGTCAATGTCTGGCTTTCCAAATAGACTCTATCAATTTGAGATTTGTTTTATTCACTAATTCTCTTTTGCTTAGCACAATGCTGGGCACAAAGTAAGCACTCAAGAAGTTATCTGTTTTGATGAATGAATACATAATTGAATGAACATAGTAGGATTATAAGGAGAGCAAAAGAAATAGGTGGTCCCATATATATGCAGTAGAATATTCAACAAGTACCCATCTGTAGTAGAAGAAAGGAGGAATAGAACTAACTATATGCTACACCATGGTGATAGTGAAAAAGATTGAAAAATAAAAGAAAAAAAGAAATTACTCAATTTATATCACCTGAGAGGGGTCCACTGATGCATCATCCTCATTTTCTTTGGTAGTTCTGTTTTAAAAGAAGGAAAAATTTTTTCAATCTTGGTAAGACTGACAGAATTTTATTCAATGATAAAGACCTTCATTTCCAATTGTGAATTCCCATAAATTTATATTTTTTAACTTATTAAAAATAAAAATAGGCAAGTGTATAGAGACAAAAGTTTACTATTGACAGGAGGAAGTAGGCAAGGAGAACTCAATGCTTCTAGACACTAGATAGACCTGTAAAGGGTGATGGGAAAATATGGGAATGGATAAGGGTGATTAATGGTTGAATTACATAATTAACATAATTAATGTCATGAAAGTACATGTGAAGAACGTTGAAATGGCAACATGTTCTGTTACAAATATACTTACCACAAAAGAATGTGCTATGGATACACACACAGGCACATAAAAGAACATTATTGTAAAAATAAAAATAAGTCTAAAAATTGGATGTTAATGGCTAAAATTTATCCTTTATTGTAAGAAGCTTGATTTCTTATAAAAATGAAAATGTATTTCAAACTTCCATTAACCTTTTAAAACAACATATTTATCAGTTGTTTATTACAAATGTAATATGTACTTGTCATGGATTGAGTTATGTCTTCCAAAAATGAGTGTTAGCTTGGCTGGACCATGATTAGTGGTTTGTCAGTTATGTAATGTTGTAAAGTGGCAGTTATATAATAAATCCCCCATGATGTGTTCTGATGTGATCAGCCAGTCAATTGTAATGGGGATTAGGGTGGGATGCAATACCTTTACTCAGGTCACAGCCCTGATCCAATGTAAAGGTGGGCTCTGCATCACTTTTTATCTTACAGGAGATAAACTGAGAGATAGGAGAAAAGAGAAGTAGTGACCTCATTACCACCAGAAAGAAGAGACAGGAGTGGAATGTGTTCTTTGGACCCAGGGTCCCTGTGCTGAGAAACTCCTAGATCCAGGGGAAAGACTGATGCCAAGACATATGGAGATCTCCAAGGAACACAGAACCCACAGATGTTGAAAGGAAACAAGGATCTTCCCCCAGAGCTGACAAAGATAGAAAGCTTTCCCCTAGAGTCCTGAATTTAGACTTCTAGCCTTCTAAACTATGAGAGAATAAATATTTGTTAAAGCCATTCACTTGTGGTATTTCTGTTACAGCAGCACTAGATAACTAAGACAGTGCTCATAATATTTCAATAAAACATAAACAGGTAGAACACAGCTCCTCTCCCCCAACAATACACCAGTACACACCAGCATACTATACTGTCCTCTAAAATGTTTGGGACAGTTTATACTACCACCCACAGTTATATTTGACTGCTAATTTCTCCACTGAACTATAACAATATTTTGTTCTTTGACAATCTGAAATTTTAGAAAAGCTAATACATTTCAGTTTGTACTTCCATGATCATTAGTGATATAGACCACATTTTATACATTTAATGGTATTTTTATTTATTCTTCTGTGAATAGTCTTCATATTTATTATACATTAATTTTTTTTCTTTAGTGCAAAAAATGGGAGCTCTGGTGGCATAGTGCCTAAGGCATTTGACTGTTAACCAGAAGGCTGGTGGTTCAAACCCACCAGTCACTCCTTGGAAGGACGCTATGCATCAGGTCCGCCTTGACGTCAGTGTGTTTGGTTTTTTTGTTTGGTATTTAGTGCAAGATATGGCATGCATATAAAAGTGTATATTCAGAGTTTAAAGAATAGCACTAAAGTGAACAACTATGAACTCACATGCCACTGAGCTTAAGCAACAGAAATGACTGATTCCTTTGGGGTCTCAGTGTGCCTCTCTTTAAATGCATATACCTCTACTCCCTGCCCATAAAAGGTAACCACTTTACTAACTTTTAGCTTTATCAAATATGTTTGAAAACCCAAGCAAAATATTATTTGGCATTCTCTTTTAAAATAAACTTCTATACAAACAGAGGTATAAGGTACATATTCTTTTTTTTTTTTTTCATTTTATTTTGATTTGGGTGAAGATTTACAGAG